CAGCCTGCCTACCGCGTGCCCATCTTGCCTTACTAGCCCCAGGCCCATTTTCCATGAAGCCGTCCCTGACCAGTTCAGCTCCCAGTGAGCGCCTGCTGCACCCAGGCCACCTAGGGATAGAGGCTGGAGTCTATTACGCTCTGTGGTCCTAGCACCTGGTGGGGGTGGGGAGGCCCAGAATAAGCATGTAGCCAGCACCTGTCCAGGGACTGATGGGATCTCAAGGTGCAAAAGAATGATAAACGTTACTGAGTCTAACTCCCCAGCTGCTGGCAGAATCCCCACCCAGCCCTTGCTGACACACTCCCATGAATGCAGCTTGCTCCCTCCCTTCATTACAGGAAGGCTCTAAGTAGGAGAAAGTGTTTTTCTCTCCTTAGCTGAAACCAGTTTCTCTGCAATTCTAACAGATTGATGAGGTGGGATGAGGACAGCGACATAGCACCTACTATAGGTCAGGGGCTCTACCTACGTTATTTCATTTAATCCTCCAAACATTCTCCTCCCCAATGAGCGGAAGAGAAAACTGAGGCCCACAGAAGTCAAGTGATTACCCAAGGCCACACAGCTAAGAAATGGCAGAGTCGGGATTCCAACCCAGGTCTGATTCCAAAGCCCCTGCTTGTTGTTCTGACCCCTGAGGTCAGTCAGAACACAACTGCTCCCTTTGCCTGGGGCAGTCCTTCAGAGCCATGAAGCCAGCGGTCCTGTCCCCCTGAGTCTTCTCTTCTCCAGGCTGAACAGCTCCACTTTCTTCGTCCATTCCTCCTACGACAGGAGTAGAGCAGGGGAAGACCGCGATTGACGTCACAAGACATGGGCTCTAGCTCCTCCACTTACTGGCTGTGTGGCCTTGAGCCAGGGACTTCACCTCTCTGAGCCTCAGTTTCCTCATCTGTAAAATGGGGATAATAATGCCTAACTCTCAGGATCGTTGAGGATCAAATGAGATAATGAACGTGAAAGCACTTTGTAAACTCTAAAGTGCTTTACACATTGGTTGTTATTATCATTGTCATCATTTTTATTATCCCCTTACTGTCCCCTTCTTATTGTCCCCTCTTTCCCCTACCCCCTCCCCCCCCTTCCGGGGTCCATCTTCCTCAGTGTAGCATAGAGCAAATCAAGGGCATCAGAAGGAAGTGGTTAGGAAGCTTTCAAGGGGAAATGTTCCAGTAGGGAAGGAGGAGGCAGCACCGGAGTTTGGGGCTCAGGCCTCCCTCTTCTACAGCCCAAGACTAAATCCAGCAGGCTCGGCTTCACCCTCCTGCTCTCAAGCTCCCGAGTTGAGAAATCTCTGGCACAGACGCCCACTGGATTCCTGTGCCGGGAACTGACGTCTGTAGCTGACAGCCCCCCCTCCAGGCACCAGTAGCCTGGAACTCCCCGAGAGGCCCTGGCCTCTAGCCAGGCTCTCTTCCCAAGCCCAGTCTCGGCCCGAGGTCCCACCTTCGTGGGTGCCGGTGAGCAGCCGGAAGTTCTGTGCCTCTCTCTGGAAGTCTTGCTTCCTGACTTTCTTGATCTGAATCAAGTGGAAGATTCCTGAGGGCAGAGACAATGGCATGAGCAGGAAAGGCAGGGCCGTGCGTCAGGGAAATGGGGTGACGTAGACGCGGAATGGACCGTCACCTCCCTCCCCTCCCCTATTCTGATCAGACATCAAGTCCTGTGGACTAAATATCTTAAATATTTTGAATCTGTTCTCCTGTCCCACTGCCACTCACCCCATTCAGGCCCCATCATGTCTTGTTTGGGTCACTGTACTAGACTTCTGACCATTTTTATTCCTCTCTAACCTGTGGTCATTTGAAAATAGACATGTTACCTTGTTGTTCTCCTTCCCTGACCTCCTGTCACCTCTCTGCTGGCCTAGCTCCTGTCACCATCGCCATCCTCCTCTCATACCACTCACCTGTCCACAATGCAGAATGGAGTGGGGAGGGAGAGAGGGAGGGAGGAAAGGAGGAACGCTGCCGGGCATGTACGGACTGGTCAAGCTTTTTTCTGAGAATGTATGATAAAAATCAATAGGTGTGCTTATTCAGACACCAAAACACTAAGTATCAGACTTGTAAGCCCCCTTTCAGCGAAAGGCTCAGTTCACCGACCCCCTGAGTGGCCTTGCCTGTGCTCCAGCCCTAACCAACTACATGAAGACTCCTGAGGGGCCAAGCCTTTCACATGCNAACAAAACAAATGCATAAACAGAGCAAAACAGACCCACAGATATAAAGAACAACCTGATGGTTTCCAAAGGGGGTGAGGGGATGGGACTTTAAAAATGAATCTTTAAAAAATAAAATAAAATAAATGGGGATCATTTCTACATTGTTCACCTTAAGTGGAATCATGGGCAGTAAAATGTCTTTGAAAGGAATTGTACATGTGGGCAAGATAATTTATGGGTGTTGTCTTTAATCGTAACAGTTAGGCCTTCTTCCCAGATTGTGGTGCCAGGGATGACAATCTGACTGCCAAGTCTTGGAAATCCTCTGAGGTGAGAATACTTGAGCTTATAACATTGGTCACAGTGGAACGGGGGAGGAGTGCTAGTCTGGAGCAAGAGACCTGGCAGCCACTTCCAAATCTGCTACTACCCTGCTCTGTGGCTGCAAATTATTGCTCCTCCCTAAACTCAGCTTCTTCATTGTAAAGCGTGGCTGACGATGGTAGGCATCCCTGGATTATTTGCTGGGAAAGTGCCCTGAGGCTCCATTCACTCCCTCCCCTGGCTAACTAGAGTCAGTCCCCCTTCTTAGGCTCAGTGCCAAAGTGCTCTGGGAGGGGGCGGCTCATAAAAGCTGGAGGTGCCATAGCTGGAGTCCGGGGTCAGAAACAGTACAGAGCAGGGGAGAAGCCACGGGGGCAGACAAGGGCCTCCGTGGAGAGGCTGGGAGAACTAGCCCTGGCTCCTGTGACGACTCACTATGAGGCCAGGGGACAGTCTCTACCTCTTCTGCCTCTCAGTTTCCAGCCTTGTAAAATGGGGAATTGTACATGTGGGCAAGATAAATTATGGGTGTTGTCTTTAATTGTAACTGTTAGGCCTTCTTCCCAGACCGTGGTGCTAGGGATGCAGTCACTGTGCTAGGGATACGGTCACTGTGAGAACACAGGGAGACTGGATATGAACTCAGCAGGCAGGGTTGAGGGGTAATGCAACTTATTTATTCATATATAACAACAAAAATGATAAAGCTCATATCCGCAACTGTTTAGGTCTTTGTTATAAAGTCTTGATTGCTTTGTCTGGACTGGCCATGACCTTCAGCTCCGGGGTCTGGGCTAGGAAGACGTTCCAGTGACCTGCATGGAAGAAAACAGAAGAGTTGTGTGTGTAGTTGTGTAGGGGTGTGTATGCGCGTGTGTAGGGGTATGTGTGTGGTGGATGTGTGTGTAGGTGTGTGTGTGGGGTGTGTGTGTGTGTGTGTGT